ATATGATTTTGGAAACTGGAGATTGCTGCTAAAGACAAAAGCCTTTAGAAACCCCTCCCAGTTATTTTTCTCCCTGGCTTGAAAACATTTCCTAGTCTGTACCCAGACCTTCTGTCAGGAATTACCAACACACATAGAAACCTGCGATGTGTTGTCCAGTGCCAGATCCTTGAATCTCTTTGAGAAAAACAAGACCAACCCAAAAACCTTTGCAATTTAGTGGACTGACCAAACCAGACTGCTCAGGCTGTGCAGGTGACTGTGTGGAAAACCCCAAACAAATTATATGTTGGAATGGGAAATTTCACTGGGGAGAGGTTGGAGGATTTCCCCTTTGAAGGAAAAAAAGGAAAGGATGGGAAATGTCCGGGTTTGCTGGCTGGAGTGTCAGTCCTGCCTTGGAGCCATGCCAGCACCATTGATGCTGATGGGTGGACAGCCTGGGTGGTGTTCAGTGGCTTTGGCCACTGACCAGCTTCCAGCATCACCTTGTATTTGGAGCCAGAGGTGCAGAGGCTGAGTGCCACTATCAGACACCATCTGATTGCTGATGGGGAGCAGGTAGGGAGGGCTCTTACTGTAAAGCCACTTGCTGTGGGCAGGGGAGGCATGTGCGGAGCTGAGTCTGAGGCATCCTCTCGTGCATCTCCGAGCAGAGCAGCATGTGTGGGTGGAAGCGGACAGAGATGAGTTGGAGACGAGGATGAAAAGTCACAGTCCAGGCTGAGACAGGAAGGACAGGGGCCAGAGCTGCAGGAGATGCACTGAATGTGCCAAGGAGAGGATTCTGGGGACTGTGCTGTGATTCCCATTTCTAGGACTGGAAGCAGGTGGCTGCCTGATCTGGGATGGGATAAGTCAACAGTGTGTATGCAGAGGGACCTTTGAACAGGTCTCCTGCAAGACAATTGCAGCCAGATTTGGGGGTGGGAGAAAAAGTGGTGTCTCTTTCTGTAACAACTGCATACCTGGGAAGGCTGTTCCTGTGTGCTTTTTGTTCAGGGATCCCTCTACCCCTGACCCACATTCAGATTTATTCTGGTCTCCGTGTGGCAGCTGCTTTTCTCAGTTCCCCACAACTGTCAGCGATCAAAACATTTGGCTGCAGAAGTGAAGCAGCTTGTGCACTATTATGGGTTTTCCATGTGAGTCATTCCCTTCTAGTCCATGCCAGGGCTGGGAGCAGCACATTTTATTCCCAAAACCTTAAAACTGAAATAGCCCACATCAATGCAATTTACTGACAGAGCTTCTGCTCATAACCTCTCTGGGTGCTGAACCAGGGAAAGCTAGGAATAAGACCAAAGCCTATGGAAATGCCACATTACTGTAGTGCAGGTGCCTTTATGCTCTTGAGTCATATTGGTCCCATTACAATGAAAACTGGCCTGCAGCACCTCAAGGGACCCGGTGGAGATCTCAATGGGTTCTTCTGCACCTGTGATTTTGGTTGTCTAGGCTGCAGTTGAGGAAGGTTAAGCAAGCAAAGCATTTTTGCTATGGAGAAAGGGGGTTATCATTTTGGGCACGTTACTTTTCCACAAGGTAACAGAGTCGATTAGTCTTGTATGGTATCAAAATTTAGATGAGGCCCTCACTGTACTCACTGTGCGATACTCACTGTGAGATAAACACCCTTTTGGTGCAAACATTCTCATAATTTTTCCTTCCACAGTTGCTCAATTGGTTAAAAAATAAATTCTGGGATGATAGTGCTGCTGTGTACTTCCCCTTGGATAGCTCAATGTACTCTAAAAGGTGCAGCTGCTGTCTTTCATTTGCAAACGCTGGGGAGAGAACTATGAGGCAGAATGCCTTGTGTCATCATTCCCTGTTAGAAGTACTCGCAATTTATTTTCCCCTCTTCAAAATGCCCCTCTTGTAAATATACTTTCAACAGAGTCTGTGGCAGCCTGTATGTGGAGAAGGCAAGCAGGGGTAGGAGCACGTATGGTTGTACCAAGGGTTTTCACACAGAGAGAGAGAGAGAGAAAGAGAGAGAGAGCGCACTGGATTTGCTTGGGTATTCCAGTTGTGTAAGGAGACCAGACGAGGTGTACAGGGCTTTGCATACTGTGTGCAGAGTCATTTATACCACTGAAGGCTGCTGCAGAAGGTGCCTGGCTCGGAATGAATGTTTGATGCCGAGGTGTCGAGGGCTGCACGGGCAGCAGGGAACAGAGCCTGGGACAGGCTGGCAGTGGGTATGGGGCTGCCGGAGCCCCGCTCTCCTGGGGAGTCACCTGGCCCTTTGCAGAGGCTGTGGTCTGTCCTCATGCAAGGACAGTGCTCAGGCTAAGCCTTGCCAGAATGGCTGCGCACAAGGCCCCGGCAGTTCGGCAGCTTTCCCAATGGGAATATCCAGCACCCTTGGATCAGCTGCAGCCACACTGTGCTGGCTCTCTGCAAGCAACAGCCTTGTGTTTGTGGCCAAGTTGGGACTTAAGGGATGCAAGGGCTGATTGTGCTGTCTTAAGAAATGGCTCAAGCTCTTCCTCTGCCAACAGGAGGGTGAGAAGACGGACAGACAGAAAACAAGTCTTTCAGCCCCCCCCAGCTCTACCTGCTCTCCCCGTTATCAAGCAATGCCGGTCCCAACTCACCAAGTCATAGGTCTCTGATGAGTAGCTGACAGGCCCCATGGTTTCAGGAGCAGGATCTGTCTCTTCTACAGAAGTTTCAACAGAAGTTCTTTTTTGGGGTGGAGTTAGTAATTTGAGTAGGAAGGGACACAGCATGTAACAATAGACTATTTGCAAGGCAAATGAGCTCCAGGCATAGTGACCTGATTGATGTAAGGATTAGCATCTAGCTTTATCATCTTTTTACTAGTACTGTAAGTTGATTTTTAAAGTACAGTTTGAAGAATCCACATTCCTTTGTTCTGTACCAGAGAAGATTCAGAACATCCTTACAGCTTCCCTGGAAACCTCCAGGGCTGTTGCCCATGGCTGTCCTTGTCCCAGGTGGTCTGAATGGCTTTGGAAAGTTCTATGCCAAGGAACACAGCAGAAACCTCCTGGATCCAGGCAGGATCTCTGGATACTCCTGGATCTCTGGAGCCATGCAGGACTTCAAAGACACCTGGAGGTGAAATGCATAGGTATAGTCTATATGACCATCACCCTCTGCCTCGAGGTCCTTCTGGCTGCTTTAGCCCCAGTGGCTTTGTGGTTGTCTTCTGCTTCTCCTGCTGCTTTGCCCCTCATCTGGGCTTGCGGGAGCATGAGGTGGCTTGCACAGGAAAGCGCAGGAGGGGCTGGGCAGCTGCATGACAGCAGCAAGGCCCCTTGATTTCACAAGGTAGTAAAGGATAATAAAAATGGGAATCAAGATTTTCTCTGCTCAAGGAAATGTGTGTTTTGTTCACTGATGTTACAGCAGCAGATTCATGGTGAGAAAGCCCCAGTCTGAGTCAGCAGAGCAGGATGGCGTTGCAGCTGGCATTTTGGCAGGAAGCTTTTCCTCTGTGAAGAGCTGAAGTAGTTCCACAAGCACAGTATTTGTCCTCCTCTTCTCCGGGCACAGCTGCACCAAGGCCTCTGTACCAGCAAGAGTGGGACTTGGTCTACTGAAGGAGGAGGTGGTGTTATGCAGGTGAGCACTGTTTGATTTCATTCACTCCTCCAGACTTCCAGTGGGGCTGAGGGCAGACACGGCCCCACCAGCCCTGGCTGTGCCTTTGGCTGCTGGGGGTGGATAAACAACCACCCCGAGACAGCTGTAGATGTGAGGGACGAGATAAAAGCAGCCATGTCAGGGTAAATGAACTTCCCTCCCTGTCTTTTTGTGCCTATTTTGGAAAACATTTGAACAAAAATTTGTCGGCAAAGCAGTTTTGGAATTACCAGCATTTTTAGGCTACTGTTTTTAAGATCGCGTTTCCATTGTGGTCCGGTTTGTCAAAATCTGTGTGTAAGGAACAGCCAGCCGTCTGAAAGGGAAGGGCAATTCCCAGGCCTGCCGCGGTCGGAGGTTACAGCTCCTGCCCGCTGAGGGTCAGCCTTTTGTTCCTACATTTGTTTTCGCTGTGTTTTAATGACTACAGAGCGAAGCCACGCTAACTTTCCAAGCCTTTTCTTCAGAAACAGCAGGGCAGACTGACCAGCCTGGATGAGGGACGGGCGGGGCCAGCGCTGTCACGTGGCGCGCAGTGCACGCCGAATGTACGTAAGTACGCACGTACGCCTGTGCGTGGTGCGTGCGGGGCGGGGCGGCTCCTCCCGGCGGGAGGGGGAGGGCGCACGGGAGGAAGGAGGAAGCCGCCATCTTGGAGCGTCGAGTCGCCATAACAAGGCACCGGGGCAGCGAGAGGATTTTATACCTGGGCGAGGGGGAGCGCGGCTGGTGGCGGTGAGGACGGGCCGGGGCGCCGGGGCGGGCGCGGCTCCTCGGGAGCGTGGCGGCAGGGGCCGGCGCCGGCGGGCCGGGCCTCGCGGCCTGCGGCGGGAGCGCTGGGCCTGAGCGAGGCCTGGCGGGGCGGCGGGCGGGGCGGGGATGGCCGGACCGGGGCGCAGCGGGAGCGGCGGGGCCGGGGTCCCGCGCGGGGCGGGGTCGGGCCGGGCGGCGGGTGACGGGCTCTCCATTGTTCTGGGCGGGCGGGATTTGCCGGTGTGGCGCAGCTGCGATCCGCGGGCGGCGCCGGGCCCGCCGCTCGGCCCCGCGGCTCTGCAGTGCGGCCCGGCCTCACCGCGCACATCGGGCGTCGCGGGGGCTCCCTTTGTGCCGGGCCGAGGGGAAGGGGAAGGTCCGGAATGGCTTTCCTGGCCGCCTGCCCGCGTCCGGGGGGCCCAGATGGGCTGCGAGGGCCCTTTTCCCTTCGGGCCGCCGGTCTGCGAGATGGTGGCGCCTCTTGTCTCGGAACGGGGGGATTTGTTGGGTTCGGTGAGGCTGAGTGTTGTTTTTAACCTCTGTCCTCCTGAAGGGTAGTTACGGGGGGGGGGGATGGGGAATGAGGGGCTGAGAGGTTTCATTTCCTGCAATGTTGGAGAACTCCTCGGCGTTGGTATCCCGGGACTCTCTGGCGGCTCCGGTTACCTTCGTGGCTCATGTCGTCTGGTTTTTACGAAGTTAATGGCTAGGAGAAATCTGTCTTCAAAGATGAGAGATAACTAGCAGGAAAATCCTGGTTCTGCGAACTTTAAAGTTGTGCTGTGGACGCATTTGGAAACAGCAGGGAAGTCTGGGAAGAGTCTGAATTCCTTTTTCGCTCTCTTGAAATTCTTTTATTCACTGAGGAAGCACATTTTGTTGTGAACGCCGAGGTTAGGAAGCAGTAATCTGCTGGTTTTTCCTCTGCATTTTCCCAAGATAAAAGGTGCCTTGTGATGAGAAAGGACAGGCAAGCCTACTTTCTGTTCCAAAAGATTTTGTACTGGGAATGTTTTGTCTCCGTGATACCACAGTAAGGAGTCTTTCAGCCGGTCTGTGCTTACTTTCTGTAAGGGGCAGACTTTGTGTTGTCTCTCCGTGGTTTTGCCAACCTTTCTGTTACATACAGAGTCAATATTAAGTCGTGTACCAAATGTTATTTTTTGAGCACAACATAAGTTGTTGGTGACTGCTGGAAGGTAAGGTCACGTGGAACGCATAAGCAGGAAGCTGGATACCCAGTGTACATGTGTGTTACTCGCTGCCTCAGTTCAGGCTCAGTCCCTTGGACTCTCAGAGACACCTGCTCAGTTCAGTGTGATGGTATTCATGTTGCTGCTCTGAACGGCTCTAAATCAATGCCCAGCTCAAAACTGTGAGTAAGCTGGGTTGAGCTAATGTTTTGGGTTGGAGGAGGGTAAGCTGTTGTTTTGGGTTTATGTAATTTCTATTTCCCTTTCAAGTTGAAAAGGGCAATCAGAGTAACTTAAGGGTTTTGTCAGTTCTTACTGGAATGTCCATTTGATATTGTCATCTTGCTTCCTGTCATAAACTTGTGCGTGACATTATTGCTCAGCATTTTAGGGCTGCTTTGCTGCATCTCAGAAGTGGGGGAACTTGAAAAGCTGTCAAAGTAGTTGATAAAATTCATGGTTACTTTCCGGGAGGGGGCAGGTAGTGTTCCTCCGAGGAATGCTGCTGAAAGCACAGCTCTTTGGGAGGGTTTTTTTGGTGACTAAAGAAGGTAGGCACAACTTTATAGAAAGGGGAGAAAAGTTTGATGCACGTTGTGATAGTTATCACTGAGGAAACAGAAAAGCAAGTATTCTTGTTGCACGCTGCCTTGGAAAAAGTGACTCTTAAAATACAAAAGTAGACTGATGTGATTTGTGTGGCCAAAACCCCACATACTAATTGTTATTGTCTGCTTCTCTTTCAGATTGAAGCAAGTGAATTCTGACATAACTTCGTTAGAGGGCTTTTTTTAAAAAAAAGTTGATCCACAGTGCATCAGAGCAAGTTACTGCTTTACTTTTGAGTGACTTACAGGTGCTTGCCTGCATTGCAATAAAGGACTCATATATTGAGCAAGACTTATTTATCTCTTCGTTTTGGAGAGTCTAATAAACTGTTATTACAGTTTCTGTACTGACTTTCAAAGTTTTGAGTCTAAAAAGACATCTTTAAAGATAAAACCATGAGCACGGCCAGAACAGAGAACCCTGTTATAATGGGTCTATCCAGTCAGAATGGGCAGTTGAGAGGCCCCGTAAAACCCAGCGGGGGCCCAGGAGGTGGAGGCACACAAACTCAGCAGCAGATGAACCAGCTGAAAAACGCCAACACAATCAATAATGGCACTCAACAGCAAGCACAGAGTATGACCACCGCTATTAAGTAAGTGATTGTATCGGCTGCCACAAAAGGAATGTTTAAAAGTCACGTATTGGAAAGTTTTGGGGTTCCCGTTTGAAAATGTTGTCTGCTGTTGTTTTATGACATGGGCAGGTAGATGTGTCCTGTGATGTACATTAGAAAAAAAAAAGCTGTATTTCCATGTGTGAGTTCCTCTCCAGCAGTGATTGTTTTGGTATGTTCCTTGCGAAAATGGAATTTGATGCTGTGCTTTTCCGAGTGTGAACTGCTGTCAGAAGCAGCCCACTGAGCATCAGAGTCCTGTGCCCTTTGCTTGTTGCAAGTGGTGCAAGAGGGAAGTTGGGGAGTGGGAAGGAACAGAACTGAAATTAAAGACAGAGGAGGAAATGCCACCTGGTCTCAGTCCAGTCGTGTATACTTTTCAGTTTGTTACAGTTCTTTCTCACAATGAGAAGTGCTTTAAAGTCAGTTATCTTTTGTCATTGATCTGAAATAGTAGTGCCTGCTGTCCTCAGTGTAATACTCTGGCTTTAATTCATCAAAGCCTTAGCTGAGAGGATATGGTCTCCCTGTGATACCCTGCTCCCATCCAGCTGGTTTTGGAAGTGTGCTAATAAAATGTGAGTGTGCTGGTTGGAATTTCTGACAGATGTAAAAGACTTGGACAGTATGGTAACGTTGCTTTTCTCTTTCCCCTATTGTTCCTGCTCCCCCTGAACAGCATTGGCTTTTATTTTGTTAATTATTTGCAAAGGAAGTGCCAGCTTCCTCAGAGAGTGCGTGATAGAACACTCAGGTTTTTAAACTCTGCCTAACTTGCCCCCTTCCCCCTCCTTTTTTTTGTGTATTACATGGGTTACGCTGAAACTAGTGAATTAAACTCATGACTTCGTGGGAGTGTGGAAGAGAAGGACTTGCTCTCTGTACAGCATCTGTACAGTGCCTTTCAAGAGAGGATGGGTGTCTAAATCTCACTGAGGAAAAAAAGACTTTTGATCAACCAGCGTAGTGTTTTTTACCTTCTCACATTACTTGGGGATTAAGAATGGATGTTCCCTGGGCAAGAGAATTTTTCTTTTAAGTGGTGAAATACTCTCAGGTGGATTTATTATAGCCGGTTTCTGTTGTATGACTAAGTCAGTGCTCAGTTTTAAATCTGTTCTGGTGGATTGATTCAGTGCCCTAAAAGTGGGACTTGAATCATGACTGGATAAATATTTCACAAATGTCTTTGGCAGACTGCTGATTTTCTCTGTTTCCAGTTTCCTGCCTGTTATATCCTGCTTAACTCGGAGAAGACTTGAGCTCATATGTGTAGGTGCTTTTAGCTTTGAGGAGGTTAAACTATTACATGTTCATCACTGTATCTAAGAAAATAAAATGCAAAATCAAAATATTAATCCAGAGTTACTTTATAATTTATTGTTATTTTATTTTTGCTATAGACCTGGTGATGACTGGAAGAAGACTTTAAAACTCCCTCCAAAAGATTTGAGAATCAAAACTTCGGTAAGGATGGTTGAATTGTAGGAATAAATACTAAATAAAAGACAGAAGTTGCGGTGGCAAAATATTTGTTCTGAGCAAAGGTTAAAAAGCAGTTCAGTTCCTGCTGTTTTAAATGAAGAATTAATTTGCTCTCCTACTGCTTGGGAGTGATCCTTTCTGGGAAAGCTTCAAAATGGAGTTCACTGTGGATTTCTTACTTTATTAGTGTTACAACAGGGACTGATGGTCTTTGTGTTGTGTGAGGCAGGTGGGAAGGTGTCACTGTAATCACAGAGCTGTGTTTGGCTCTGAGAAAGCAAATGTTTCCTCTGCCGCTGTAGGGTGTTGCATGGAGTAGTGGAAACTCCTGTATAGTAATTTGTGGTCTTCCTGCACAGGCAGTCTCAGACCAATCAAAAACAGCTGCAGGTTGTCTGACCTAATCTTATGAATGTGCTTTTTTTGATTATTCAGGACGTGACCTCCACAAAAGGAAACGAGTTTGAAGATTACTGTTTGAAACGGGAGTTGCTGATGGGAATTTTTGAAATGGGCTGGGAAAAACCATCTCCTATTCAGGTTGTTTGCAAACAAACTGCTTAGAAGCCATGTTTAACTTTGCCTGTATGTCCAATACTTATGTCATGGTTTGGGAAAACTGGGGCTGTGAACAGCGGAACATGGTGGGAAGTTCTTCCTTTGGAGAAGGCAAGAATTTCTCACCCCAAACTAAGTCATGGAATGGGTGGCTTAGTGATGGGACTGACTTACACTTTGGAGAAGTTAATTTGGATTTTCCTTTTCATGCTGGAGGTCTTAATTTGTTAATTGTCTGTTCAGTAACATCCTTCACATAGGTAGTCCCAGCGAGAACAGAGCTGTTCTGTAAATTTTCCAGAAAACTGAGTTACCATAGGCTGCATACCTTTAGTTGTTACAGAGACAATTATGGCTTTATTGCAGTCTTGGCTCTTTTTATTGTAAGCATCTGGAAGAAGCATAATGGAGATTGTGGGAGAGAGACTAATATCTTAGCAAGTTCACTTTTCTGTCTCCCCATCTCCCTTTTACTCCTAAGGTTTGTTCTATTCTGAACCGTTGGTGTGTAAACTTGGCGGGACGGGGAGGAGGGAAGTTGAACTCTCTTTTAATTGGTCTTTGAAGGTTTATCATTGACACAGCTCTGCTGCCTTATCTCCTTAAGGCATGAGGAAGCTATGGCGTTTAGGTGATTGATCTGCTTTAAAACAGGTTCTCACAATGCACCTTTCCAAAAGGCTGAGATTTCTTTAGATGTTGCTGTAAAAGGCAGTAAAGTTAAAAGTACGTGGGCCTTGTGTTTGGATGGCTGAAGTTTGAAGTTTCAAAAGGAAAGCCTGCTGATTTTATGAGATTTGTGTCACAGGAATGTGCAGGTTTGAATCACACGGGCTGTGTTTGTTCTGATGTTAAGGTATAGGTGGGAATCTTTTTCCATAGGAGGAGTTTGCTAGTGACTGTCATTGTCTCTTCACTTCCCCTCCCCTCCGCCCCCCAATTTTTCACTTTTTTCCTAATGTGTCAGTATGGCTTTACTATCACCTGTGGTACCCAATCTTATGATCAGACAACATAAGGAATTCTAAGTGGGATATGTTGGGGAACTCTTTATTGATGGGTTTAACTTCTTCCTGTTGTGAGTCTGCCATGCTTGTAGTTGCAGGATAGTAGTAATAATAATAATCATGATCATGAAAAAATCATGTTTCATGTGATACTGTTAGTGAAGGGAGTTTAATTTGGTCAGCCTCTTCAGTGAGCGTGGCTTGTGATTGATTGCTCGTGTGCTATCTGTCCTTGCATTTCAGGAGGAGAGCATCCCCATTGCTTTATCTGGTAGGGATATCTTGGCTAGAGCGAAAAATGGAACAGGCAAGAGTGGAGCCTACCTCATTCCTTTACTTGAACGGCTAGACTTAAAGAAGGACAATATACAAGGTCAGTTGAGGTGGATTTCATGTAGCTGCAGCCAGGTAATGGTGTCAGTCGCTACATAACAGACTTGAATCTAAAACTAGTTAATGAAACTGGGCAGTGTGGGTTATCTGCTTGTACTTCCAGAGAAAGTTAATGGGGAGTGGTGGAGGGGAAGTGGAATTTGAAAAGTCCCGCAGTTGCTTTCAAAAGCTTTAAATGGAAGACATCTTCTGGACTTGACTGTCTTGCCCCTGGAAAGTGGATGTGAAGTAACAAGCGAGTGTGCTGGCTGGGGGACTCAGCAAGGGGAGCATCAAAGAAGGGAGAACCCTTGCACGGAATTTGCCTTGTCATAAGCAGTTCCTGGGCTGCTCAGGATACCTAGAGTGGAACTCCAAAACCATAGAAGTACCGCTTTCATGAAGTCTGTCTCCTCTGAGGATGAGTATTTAAGATACAGAGTGTTATTAGTAACTCACACTGATGTTTTTAACTTTCAGCAATGGTGATTGTTCCCACCCGTGAACTAGCCCTGCAGGTCAGTCAAATCTGTATCCAAGTCAGCAAACACATGGGAGGTGCCAAAGTGATGGCAACCACAGGAGGAACCAATTTGCGAGATGATATAATGAGACTTGATGATACAGGTCAGAGCACTTTTGGTACACTACAGTTGCTGTTTGTTTGTGGCTTTTACAGTGTGGTAGTGGAATTTCTGCTTATTACTGTTTTGCCTGTTACAGAACAGACTTCAGTATGTCTTGTTTGCTGTTGGTATACAGTCATCATTCTTTCAAACTGTTCATATGAAACATGGCCATGAATGCCAGAAACGTTATTTTAGTCGGCTTAACTATTTTTTTTTGCTCTTCTAATCTTACAGTGCATGTGGTGATAGCTACCCCTGGGAGAATTCTCGATCTCATCAAGAAAGGAGTAGCAAAAGTTGAGCATGTCCAGATGATAGTATTGGATGAGGCAAGTTGCTCATGTTAAATGTTCTGGGATTTTAACACCAAGTTAAAGCAATTACGTGTTTCAGTGAGTCTCCTTTCTATACACAGCAATAAATCAAACTTTGCTTAGAGACACTATAAGGTTATAGCTCATCCATTTCCCAGTATTTTTGAGAAAGTATTTTGGAGGAGGATTTTTCTGCGTGTGACTCTTAAGAAAACAGCCTAGGAAGATTTGCCTTTCCTGTCTTCTTTGCTGATGCTGAAGATTAGAGTAACAAATCTAGCCCGAAACTAAGAAATGCATTTCATTTGATTTCCTTTTATAATGAGTGAGCTGTGCTTACCACATAATTGTGTATAAAATTGATTTATGTACATCCAGTAGTGTACAGGCTTCTCAGTGAGAGAAAATATAGTTGTGTGAAAGCTCTTGAATGACTCTGGTAGGAACCCTGGTAACTGGTTTTTCCTTCCCCCAAATGTGATGCTACCAGGAGACTGAAATATTTTTTTATTTTAACTTATGCTTTATTACTTCTGTTGTTACAGGCAGATAAGTTGCTGTCTCAAGATTTTGTTCAAATAATGGAAGATATTATTCTCACGCTACCTAAAAACAGACAGATTTTGCTCTACTCTGCCACTTTCCCTTTGAGTGTACAGAAGTTCATGGTGAGTGCAGAGATACCGTGTAGGTGTGATGGTGGTGACATTGTGCGAGTGGTGCACAGCTGTTAGTGCTTGGATTTTTTTAGTGCATCTAAACCTCACAGGTTTAATCTAAATCAGCCCAAGTCTTGGACAGAAGTTTGAAAAGAGTTTTTGACCTGCAATAGCATTAATGGGAAGCTATGTACATGCACTTCTTGCCCATAAGGTGATGTTTTCCACTTTGTGGATTGGTTATGTGTCATCTGCGTGCACTTTCTCCCAGAGGGTGCTCCTATTGGGCCTGCTCAGTCGCCTTGGATTTATGACTAATCATTTGTGAAATTTTACCCACCCTGTCTGTTAGAGTATAGCACAAAGAGTGAGTGGCGAGGTAGTGCATCCTTGCCATGGAGTTAAGTGTGCCATAGGATGGGAAGTGTTTACATTGTTTTGCGTGTAAATCTATCATTATCTTTATTTTTCAGAATTCCCATTTGCAGAAACCCTACGAGATTAATCTGATGGAGGAGCTGACTTTGAAGGGAGTTACTCAGTACTATGCCTATGTCACTGAGCGTCAGAAAGTGCACTGCCTCAACACGCTCTTTTCCAGGGTAAGGAGTAGGGCTTCATCAGAAACATACAGAAGCTTTTTTCCTCTCACAACTAAGAATAAGACTGAGTGTTTCGAGGGTGGCTTAACAAAACATTTTCTTTGTCAAAATGTGTTATGTAGCTGAAGATAAAAATGCATTCTTCTTGTCATGCACCTTTATGTTACAGAATTTTGTTAATTTTTTTTCCTCTGTACAAAAATACATCCTATGTAAATTACCAGCAGCATACCTGCCATGCTTTCTTTATGGTAGGGATTTAGACATGTCTGGGATCATTTGTTAGTGAAATGCTGCATTTACTGAGCACTCTACTTATATGTTCAGCTCCAGATTAACCAGTCGATCATTTTCTGCAACTCCTCTCAACGGGTTGAATTGCTAGCCAAAAAGATCTCCCAGCTGGGCTATTCCTGCTTCTATATACATGCTAAAATGAGGCAGGTGAGTATGAAGTCTGCAGTGGTTTATTCCACACCACCCCAAGTTTACTGCATAGCTGAATTAAGTCCCATGCTTTCTTTAATTTTGCATGTTCTTTGTAAACTGAAACATATATTGCTTTGCTATAGGTTTGTTTTTAGATGCCCACTGCCAGCCTCCCTGCCATGTTCCCCCATCCCAGTCATCTTTCCAGACTGTTCAGTGTAGCTGGCCAGTTGGTGTTTAGGACTACTTCAGGTCAGGTTAATTTGTCCACCGACTGCAGCCAGAAGGCACAGTTCTTTCTTAGTGCTGCTGCTGCCTTGCTTTGGCAGCATGGGAAGGCAGGGTAGGCCACACAGTGTAACTGACACAGGTGAAAACAGGCTTGATTTCAAACAAATGACAAAAAACCCAATGCTTGGCCCACCGAGTGCCATGTGTGTCTTTGCAAACAGAAATCTTGCACTGTGACTGCAGGGGAATCTGAGAAGTCGAGGAGGTGGCTTTGATGGAACTTCTTGGAGAAAGCTGCATCTGTTGTGTGGTGACCAGGCACTTGTGCCCTTGATGTAGATGATGAAAAATGCTATTGCAGCTTTGCTGGTGAAGAGGTTTCTGTTAATTGCATGGTAGCTCACATGTCCTCACAGTACCTCACATGATATTAAAAGATGTCAGAAGGTTGAAATGATGTGTGTAGAACAGAAGTATTTTGAAACATTTTTTTCATTTTATAATTAAGCTAAAACAAATTCAAATGAAAGCTTTCAGTCTAGCTTGCTGCTCATGCAATTGACAGGTAATGCCAATGTTTGGTGGGCCAGACCAGTAATTAATTAAGCAGAAATAGGGGTGGTGTTGGTATTGAGAACAGAGAGATATGCAAGCGGATTCCTTGAAGTTTGATTTTTGTATGCTTTTGATTAGTTGGTAGATGGTCTTTGTGGCGAAGTGCAGCTCTGTTTTTGCCAAATGCTTCAGCTTGTTTATTCCCTCTCTAAATTTCACTTCTTAACAGTGATATTACTTAATCTTTGTGTGAGGAGAGTCTTCACAGAACATTGACTCATCCCACACCTAATTCTGCATCGGTAGTGAAAAACGCTTCATACTAGAAAAGGAAGTTTACTGCTGAGTTCATTTTTTAAGGGAGTGAATAAAATGTGTTAAATTCAGCAAGGGACCAGGGAAAGGCAATAGTCAAAATACCAGTTTAACTTCCTTGGTGTGGGTTTCATGTAATTGTAACTTCAGATAGTCGTTTTCTGAGATGGCTCTGATGCCACTGTAGGAAGCTTTAAAATGCAGTCAGTTAAGTGCCTTTGTCACAAAGTGGGATCAAGGCCCTCTTGGCTAAGTTCTTTAGAATACGTGGTAAGGAGCGCTAAAAAAATATGTACTGGCAGCTTGTTTCAACTCAGCTGTTTTCTAATGAGAACTAGGAGAAATTCACATGATTGAAGTTTGGTGTTTGTTACGTGAATATACCTGGTTGGTTGGTTTGTGGGTTTTGGTTTTTTTCCTCTCTGTTTATATGTGTGTATTTCCAGGAGCACCGCAATCGTGTATTCCACGATTTTCGGAATGGCTTGTGCCGCAATCTCGTTTGCACTGGTAAGAGCTGCTCAAGGTTTTCCCGTTTCTAAAAGATGTAGTAGAAAGTGCATTGGCCCAGGTATAATAGACCAGTTATTTGTAATAAACCAAAACAAGGTGTTTTGGTAGATGTCTTTGTTAAGCCTGCATGTTGCAGGACACAACACTCCTTTGGACACGTGGAGTTTTGTCTTTTGTGACAAACTGTGAAAGTGCACCTTTGCCAACAAATCATTTCACTGCGATAGTGTTTTCTGTTTATTTTCACATGCAAGGGCTCCCTGAGATGTTGGGCCATAAACTTTATGAAATATCAGTAGAACTCTGACTAGGAGGATCATGTGAATAAATTTTGTTGATTCTTTAGGTGCTCATAGCTCATTTTTTTTCTAAATACTTTTGTGATTTTGATTGGCCTGTGTATGATCCAAGTTCTCTATTTTTATGGCCTGTTTGGGCAGTACCCGGCAGTGTCTGCTATCAGTGGATCATCTTAACAAGTCACTGCTATGTCTGGATCGTCTTAACAAAAATCACTGGAAACGGAATAGAAGTAGTTGAGGTAGTGGAATGTAGTTGAGGTCTCAAGTCTGTTGTGACTTTGGCAGCGCACAGTCCTGTGTGAGAAGATGCTTGTTTAAGAAGACCTGTGCTGAAATAGTCTAATGTGGAAAAAACTAGCTTAATGTGCAGATCTGGTGGTTTTGATAATTTTTCTTATATTATTCATGTTTATAGTGGATACAGAGCAAGAGGCTGTAACAGGATTGTATGTAAACTGTCTTTGATACAAAGAAAGCTTATATCTGGAAAATAGTGTGAGGCAATGTTAATCTTTGCCCCCTAAATACTGTCAGGATTTGATCTCATTGAAATAAACTTTCTTTGTGACCTGGATTTGTCTTTCAGATCTGTTTACCCGAGGTATTGATATCCAGGCTGTGAATGTGGTGATAAACTTTGATTTCCCAAAGCTGGCAGAGACTTATCTCCATCGCATTGGCAGATCAGGTGAGAGGAAAGACGTGTTTTAGGTGCAACTTTGCTGATGACTGTGATGCTTCTTAGCCTTGAATTCACTTTTGGTTTTTATTACTGTATCTGAGAATTACCTTAGATAGCTTTAATTTTTCTGACAAATTTATTTTTGAGTATCACCTCAGATGGTTATCCTCACTGAGGATTTTATCTAAATAAAGGCCCATTCTCTTGAAACTGACCTGACTGACAAATGAGAAATAAAGGCTTATTTTGATTTTTATCTCGGGAGACTTACTATTGCCCCTGTTTGCAGGGAAAATTCTATACTGAAAACTTAGCTTCCAGGGTATCTCAAGCATAGACATCTGTGCTTTCTTCTCCATGTATTCTGAGGTATGTTTCTGCTGACTGGACATCAGCAAAATATACCCCTAAGGAAGGCAGTAAACGAACTCAGTATACTTGAACTTTGTAGTTCAGCCTTGCTCAAAAACTCTGTTACTGAAGAAGGGTTGGATGTGCATAATGCAGGAGTGGAAGACTTTTCTCTGATAATTAACCGGGAGCTTTGGTCAGAGTGTATTGAACCTCCTGAGTTTTCTTATTCCTGCAGCAGTATGAAACTCCTCACCAAAAACTGATGTGAAACATGTAGAAACCTGCAGCTGGATTTGTTTTTACCATCAGAGAGCAATGTTAACTTCACAGTCTGTAGACTTTTTCATTCAGCCCTCTGATACTCAGTTCAGTTCAGAAGTGTGTTTCTTTTTTTTTTGTCAAGGTCGCTTTGGTCATCTTGGCCTGGCCATCAACTTGATCACCTATGATGATCGATTCAACCTGAAAAGTATTGAGGAGCAGTTGGGAACTGAAATTAAACCCATACCAAGCAACATTGACAAGAGCCTGTATGTGGCAGAATACCACAGTGAACCTGTAGAAGATGAGAAACAGTAAACATGTATGTTTGTAAGTGTCTCCTGAATACCAACATTGTGTGGGATGAAAGGAGAGTTGATATGTCAGTAGTAGCGCAGGGGAAGAGGGAAACTGATGTGATGAAAAGGCTCTGAATTTGAAAACAAGGGTTTGAAATAGACTGTCAGTGCAAGGAATTCTGTGGACATGCTAAGCTGGGAGGGGAGGAGGAGTATTTTTTAGTTGTTTTAATTTAAATGCTGACCGTATGCTAAGGAGACCAAAAGTGGGGGAAGGGGGAGGGGGGAATGCTGTTGGGAGAGGCCATGGTGGGGTACTAGTAGCCTAAGGAATTCTTTCTGTATTGCTTAGCTAAAATGAGAAATTGGTGAGGGGCAGAGAGGAAAGTGGTCCTCAGAAAGGTGAGGAGAGAAAATGGATAGCTGTGAGAACAGAGCACCAACAGAAGAGCTAAGCACCTCACCAGTCAGACGGAGCAGGTTCCAGTGTATCCTTTGGTTCACAGAACTCCTGCAAGTGAACAAAGTAGGGAGCGAAGCTGTAATTCATATTTGCTGCCACTCGAGGTCGTCTACATAGTTTTAAAAGAAAATGAGGTTGCACTGCTGGAGACTCCTAAGTGCTCCCTTTCTGATCATTGTCTGAGAAAAAGCTGCTGAGTCGAGCCCTTTTATAGGAAGACTACTTGCCCTGGACTGCAGTCAAGCAAAGTAGCTGCAGGATGACGTTTGATCTGGCCTTAGTTAAGATGCTGTGTCGTGCAAGATCCAACACCATACAGTTTGGGCTGGAAATCAGTCTTTTGTGTATTCTTCTCAGAGATCATGAATTAGAAAGCGAAGCTGCTGAAATTTGCCTCAGGTGACCAATAAAAAAAAAAAATGGCCGTAGAAGCAGACTGCTTGATAGTGTTAGAATGAACTGTGGTTCCTTCTTTGAAATCATCCAAGGACAGCCTTAGCCAGTCATGCCAAGCTGACTTATAAACCTCTGCTTTGCTGGTTGAACCTCCTCCAAGTTTATAAGTAAATAAAAAAAGGAAACAAGTGATGAACTTGGAACAGGCTCTTGGGTGGCTTCTTTAAGGGGAATACTCTGACCTTGCCAGAGAACAGTTTGCTGCTTCCTAAAAGGCAAGAAACCAGGAGATAATTGTGCTCCTAAGTACAGTAGAGCATTAGCAGCACCTCTTTCTACAAAGCTGAGGCTGAGGTTGAGCTGTTCAACATGCCCTTTGCTTTTCCAGAGCTGGTGCATAGTCAGTGTGAATTATCTCTTACATTCTAGTTTTGCATAGAACTGATTTAACTGTGGGTGTTGTGGTTGTGTTTTTTTGTGTTTTTTTTTGTTTTGTTTTTTTTTTTCCATAGGCTTTGATTACACATGCCAGAAGGTGAAGCCCTATGATCCAGATCTGTGACACATCGTTTCTTTGGGGATACCCTTCTCTTTGTGGGTTTTTCTTCGTCTTTTCATTTCGAAACTATGAAGACTAAAGAGCTCGGCCTTTTTTTATTTTTAAATTTGGCAGCAAGGAAGAAAGAAGATAAAAGGAGGAATGTCTTTTTGTTTTTCCACTTGTTTGCACTGTGTGCTGATTGAACATTAGTTGCACTAACTGCTGGTTTTAAATTTTGTTTTCTTTGGGTGGGAGGGGCAGCAAGGGAAGAAGAGAAACCCTGAAAAGAGAAGAATCTTGATGAACGCGAGCTTGTCTGCTATTTCAAATTCTTTAACCATCGACTGAGTGCATTTCAACTTCTCCCTGGTTACTCATCTGTTTTTTAAGCTAAAGAGCTTGTTACTTATTCGTGCAAAGTGCCTTATGCTATGAGACCATTCAGAATATCACCTTTCCAACACAGCCCAAGGAATCAACAGCTGTTTTTGGTTTCAGGTCAAAGTTCCCCTCTCTTCCCCTTCTCCTCCTTCCCAAGTACTCAAGCCCAGGGCTGGGAGGTGAAATGTATTGGTAATACTACTTTTTTCTTCAACTTTTTTTTTTTTAACTGGAGGAGTTGATATGCATCTGCAGTTCACCCAAACTGTAAATATCTGTATTTAAAATGAAACCAACTTAAAATCTGGGCTGATTAGGTGCAGCATCATAGCTCCAGAAGGAAAGAGTAGCCTGTCATCCTTTGCAGGAGCCATAAGAAAAGCCCTGTGCTCTAGCAGAACACTAAAAGACTGGTTTCCATAAGAGTCTCCATTCGTAGTTACAGCACTTGATATGTAGACTTGTTTCAGAGCCATGGCCCTCTTTCCTCTGGTGCAGTGTGTCCCATAGAAAATCAGATGTGTATATTGTACAAACTTTGTAAATATTATTTTTTTTCTCTTTGGGTTCATATATAACTTTTTCTTTTGTGATGAAGGTTGCTGGGGTTAAAGGGATTAGACTGATTATGGGAGCAGCTAAAGATGAGAGGGGCTCAGTTTTCTGCAACACTAAACAGTGAGAAGTGCTCTGACCTCTGTGAAGTGCAGGCCTCCACAAGTGTCACTTGTCAGCGTGGCTGTGCTTTGGTGCTGGCAACACTGTCCTGTACCACTCGTATGGAAGAGATCACTTGGGGGGCTCCAAGGCCTCCAAATCCATAGCTCAGCCTTTTTGGAGATGCTCTTTGATTTCCCCCTTAGAAACTTCAGGAGCTTGACAAGCTCTGAAGGGGCCCATGACCTGTGTTCCACCATAGTGGGAGGGGGAAATCCAGTGAGTGTCAGAATTTCTGAGCAGTGGATGTTTAAGATGTGGATTTGAGTTTAAGAGAGACCATAGAAAACCAGTTTACATGCATAAACTGACAGTTCTGGAGCTTTATGGAGTCGATTCACTTCCTGCAGCACTGTGCATTTTCTGCCAGGAGCAGCCTCTGTGCAGAACTGTGAGCAGGTAAGGGCAAACCCCTGTTAACGTCAGAAGCTGCAGGAAGCTGCTTGCCATCTCCTCTGGTTTGGCATGAGTTGCTGTCTGTCATTTTGCATTGTATATTGCTGAAAAGTGCTATCTGGTCAAGTAGTGTTGCTTTAAATTGTGCCCCTCCCAACATGCTTGATGTTTGGCCTGATCTACAGGCAAAAGGAGTGAGACAAATCAAAAACTACTCTTTTTAAAATCCCTTTTAGCCTGTTCACCACCACTGTCAGGAGGCACCTGGATGAATGCAATCCCTTTTGCTCATTTGTTTATTGCATATACAAATGCTGCACTCACCATGCTTGCTTACCTTTGAGGCAGGAATTAATTGTCTTAATTTCTCCCATTTTGGCCCTTTTTCTTTTTTTGAATTGGAGTAAAATTGTTTGGAACAACAAGGCGGACTTAAGCCATCTGTTTCCTTGAGGATCATACATAACAAGCCAGGTGCCTCCTGACAACAACTTTACAAGATGGAAAGGTTTTTGTGTTTGGGATGTTTTTCTTCCTTTTGTCAGCAGTGACTCCATAATTGTAGCAAATGCTGCACTAGAGTACAAACTCAAGAGCTTGGTCACAGACACACTGTGAGCCACACAGCTTACATCTGACTGGCAGGTACTAAATGTAAACAATTTTGGGGTGCTTTTTGGGGGTGGGGGGTGGGAATTTGTGGGTGGTAACTTTGACCAAAAGTAAAATCTTGCTCTTGTACTGCAGCCAGCTTATGATTTTCCAGACAGAAGAGGGATCATTTTAGTGCAACGAAGACATGACAAATGTAAATAAGTTTTGTATCTTACCAGGGCATGCACATGTACCAAGAACAGGATAGCGATGTTGAGTCAGGTGTGTGTGCTCTGCTTGGATTTGTGGTAGGTTAGCCTGGTGCCATGCGTTGATGGTCCCTCTTGAAGCACAGAATTTTTGAAAGTATTACTTTAAGCTTGGCCTCTCGTTGAGGATTGGCACTTAATCTAAACTATCAGGGCACCATCTTTAGGTGGCTTCTTGTCAAGAAGGAAGCAGCCTATTTTTGGTGCTAGTAGGCTATCTTGAACAGATGCGATCTTGCAAATGGAAAGATGCTCCAAAGGACTAGGATAATCCTAGTTTTTTTTGTTTGGTTTGTTTTTTTTTTTTTTTTTTTTTTTTGGTTGTTGTTGTTGTTGTTTTTTTTATTATTTTGTTTTGGGGTTTTCTTGGTTGTTTTGTTCCCTGTACAGGAGTAAGGAGTATGTATAAATCTTGGCTTCCTGAGATTCCTTGTGAGCTCCAGTTCTTGCTGGTCATGTGCCAGCCTTTACATATGCATTAGTTGGAGCCTTCGGTGGTGAGCCCTAGGTCAAATACTTCCTCTGACAAAGTTGATGTGAATGAGAACCTGATGTATTCTGCACTTTTTAACTCGGAAGTCAAAAGCGTCACTCCATGAATCTGTGAAATGGAGTTTCACAGCTGGGCGAGGTGGCTGTGAAGAGAGTGATGGAACCTTCAGCCACTTGAGAGAACCTGTAGGGTGGTCTCTGGGTGTGCTGGGGGGCACTGCAGCTGCTGGAGGCCTTTTCCCAAAGGGAGGGGGGTGGGTTGGTCTCAAATACATGTTCCAATTTCCAGAATGAGATGGGAGCATCTTTCCTTTGTCCTCTGTGATTTTTTTTTTTTTTGTGGGTAAGAACAGGGAAGCTCAACATGAATTCATGTTGTGTATATGGTGGTATCAAATCATCTCATTCTGATCTTCTGTTTATTTTCATTTGGGGTGGGGGGGAGGGTGTCTACTCCAAGGATTTAAAAATGCTTCAAACACTGTTTCTCTTTACAAATGACTGATAGGACACAAATCTGAGCAGATGGCTGTCTTGCCTCAGTTTCTGTAGGAGAGGTTACAGAGATGCCATGCCGTGTCTCCTGAGCTGCCGTTGTGGTGGTTCTCGCCCTGGTGCTGAGCTTTGTAGTGCTGCTGGGGCCAACTGGTTGTTGCTTTCTGAGGACAAAGTGAATTTTGTTCCCAGAAACTCCAGCAGTACAGCTGCCATGGTAGAGGTTGGGCAACTGTAGTCCCTGCAGGGAGTTTTCTGGTTGCTGTGAACTTCTGGTCCATCTTTTTTGCATCACAGCTTATCTCTGTAATAAGCCAGGTCTCTGGACCAAAGAGCATGCATCTGAACTTCATAAGGAGGCTTTGGCAGATTAGGCTGTAAGTTTTGCTCAGTTCATTGTTGTGTTGCTGAAATGCCTCTATGGGGAAGCATTGTTAAATTCTGCTGTAGACAAGTTAGGGAAGGGTAAGGAGGGAAGGGGGGGGATGGGTTTATTAAGATACAGCCTTGCTGTATTTTAACCAATAATTTTGGGGAAGGGGTGTCAGGAGAAGGAAAATAGTCACTATTCCCTTTATTGAAAGAAACTGGAACTTTTATTTCAAGAAAAGAAATTATTTGCGATTTGAGTGGTGTCATAATCCACTGGTCCCTAGACAAGGGGTTGGTATTCTTACTGTTAACCAGCAAACAACATGGTCTAGTCCTTGAAAACAGTCGGGGGAGGGAGGGGAAAATTGGCGTTCTGTTAAATTGGCAAACTCTCCAGTGGAGCTCAGATTTTGTTGAGATGTGTTTTTCTGGCTGTATCTGTGTTGCAGCACTGACTTGTGAAGAGCTTCATGAGTTGCAAATGCAAAAAAGATGAATGGTAAAATCCTGATTTTGTTGATTTAACTCAATAAAAGCTCCCTGGAACTCCTGTTTGTTCTGGTTTTTTTCTGTTAATTGTGCTGTGTGAAAAGCGTGCTGATGAGACCTGTGGCACTTGACAAGGGGAAGGGTGCTCTGCCTGCGCAAGCCATCTTGGGTCTGCATGGACCCTCCAGCCTAAGTGGCAGCTGCTCTTCCAGGCTCCAATGCTCCACAGTCTTGTCTCTACTAGACCAGTAGACTTTAACTGGCATCTGGTTGCAGATGCCAGTGGGAGTTTCTGAAAGGGGCCAGAGCAGCACTCCGGGAGTCTGTTGGGGCTGTGTTCTCATGTCTTTCATCAGGAGTCATCCTGAGCTCGGCTGCTTGTGCTGCAGAAAACCTGTGTGCTGTGGCTCTGGTTGCTAGGAATGAGTGTTTTAAAGTTGCTTAAAAAATCATGAGCAACAGTCCTATGAGGAGGGGCTGACGGAGCTGGGGCTGTTCAGCCTGGAGAAGAGGAGGCTCAGGGGAGACCTCATCACTCTACAACTACCTGAAAGGAGGTTGTAGCCAGGTGGGGGTTGGTCTCTTTTCCCAGGCGGCTATCAGTAAGACAAGAGGGCATGGTCTCAAGTTGTGCCAGGGGAGGTTTAGGTTAGATATTAGAAAGAATTTCTTTACAGAGAGGGTGGTCAGACGTTGGAATGGGCTGCCCAGGGAAGTAGTGGGTTCTCCGTCCCTGGAGATTTTTAAAGAGAGACTGGATGTGGCACTTAGTGCCATGGTCTAGTAACCGCAGCGGTAGTGGATCAAGGGTTGGACTTGATGATCTCGGAGGTCCCTTCCAACCCGTCCAATTCTATGATTCTATGAAAAGCAGGTTTAATACAATAGGGGAAGCAGATTTAATATAAAAGCACGACAGAGTTTGTTGGGAAGGTTCACTCTAGTGCTGACTAGATGGTTAAAGCATAGAGAAAAAGCAGACCACAATCAATCTAAAACCAATATCAACCCAGAAGTTATCTACGTGGAGGCTGGGGGTGAGGAAGATAAGGGTAGATTGAGTCACAAGATTCAGATCTCTGTTATCTCTGTTACAATCCACCCTAGAAGGTGAGGGTAACCCAGGTTCTTGTTAATAGATCTCTTTGGTGGTCCTAACGATGTTTAAGCCATTAACCATTTCTGTTTCTCACAACCCCCTTGTTCAGCTGGGCCCTGGATGTGACCAACGGTTTAGGCCTAACATTTTGTATATACTACTGTGGCCCTGTTGGGGAGAGGTGAGTTAAAATTTGATGGTCTCTCAAAGATTAAATATTAGTTACTACACTGCAGTAGTAACTGCAGTAGTAGTAGTAATAAAAATTATAATAGTAATAAAATAGTAGTAATAAAAATTATAACAATAATTTTTATTATTGTAAAATGAGTCCTTCAAGGTTGTAGACACCCGGCTGAATTTTAAATCTCTAGCAGGCTCAGATATGGGTTTTTTTTCCCTCGATAAGTGTGTTCGAAATTCAACCTTTAAAATTAAATTTCTTGGCACCCCCGAGGGGCGGGGGCCCTGGTCACGTGATGCCGGGCCCCGGTCACGTGAGCGGCGGGCGGGGCCGGCCCAACATGGCTGCGTACCTGCAGTGGCGCCGCTTCGTCTTCTTCGACAGAGAGACGGTGAAGGAGCCGCCGGGCTCGGATGGGGCCGGTGCGAAGCCCTTTGCGCTGCCCCCGGGCATCGCAGTCTGCGACTCGGGCCGGGGCAGCCTCGTGTTTGGGGATATCCTGCCCGGGGCCGAGCGCTGGGGCCTGTGCGGGGCTCAGCGGGGCCGGAGCTGGAGGGTGCTCCAGCTTCCTGCTCTCCGCTGTCCTTTGCTTTAAACACGAACAAAAAAACCCTGCTGAATGTGTTGGTGCTCCAGGGTCGTTCTGCAGAGGTGTTTACTGAAGCCCTACGAGGGGTCAGCGAGAACCATTAACCTGTTTGATCCTACTATGACTGGAGGTGTGGGGGTTTGGGGTTTTTTGTTTTTTTTTTTCCCTTTATGTGCCTTAACTGTGATCTAAATATGGAAGGTCAGATTTGGTTTTTGCCTCGCTCCCTTCAACTCAGTAGTTTCCAGGCTTACAAGCTGAGGGTAACGCATCTGTACCAGCTGAAGCAGCACAGCATCTTGGTTTCTGTTGGAGAGGACGAAGAGGGTATTAACCCCTTGGTAAGTCAAATGACAAAGTGAGGAAAATGTATTTGTAATATGTGTCTTTCTAAAGGCTACTGCGATTATCTCAGATGACTTTTCTTACTTTAGGTACCTTGATCATTTTGGGCACTGTAACATTTGATACCAGGTCTTGGCCTTCTAATACCACATGTTTTGCTTATGGCAGATCGTTGTTGTTTGTAGGTGAAAGTCTGGAACCTGGAGAAGCGAGATGGTGGCAATCCTCTGTGCACACGAATTTTTCCAGCAATACCAGGTAACAAGCCCACGGTTGTATCCTGCCTAACTGTCCACGAGAATCTTAATTTCATGGCTATTGGTAAGTAAAACTGAGCTGTAACAGCTTAAGAAAAATATTATGAAAAATAAATATTTTGAAAATTAACCCTTACTCAGATGTAAGGGACACAAAAATCAGCACTGAACACACCGATGGGTTTTCTTCTTATGCAGTTGTTACGTTATGCTCTCCGAGAGATCGTGTGTCTTGTGCTGTCACAGAGCTTGAGAAGATAAATGTGTAAATTTAGCCCGAGTCTGTATATTTTACACAAATAACTTTGGTACTTAAAAGGGAAGCACATATTTTTAGTTGATATCCTCTTTCTCTGCCAGTTGGTCAGGCTATGTATTTATTGAACTTAGTACTAAATTCAGCTTCTGTTGGTACAGGAGAAACCATAGGTTTTGTGATACCTAGTGTTACAGAGAAATTTTTTTTCAAGTATGCTGTAAAAAACTTTTTTTAAAATAAGAAAGCCAGTTTCGCCTTTTGGATTTACCCATTCCTTTGTAATGTTTCTTGCTTAACTTCTGTCAGACTAAGAGCAGTAATGTTGTAAGGTTACATGGTCCCTGCACTGAAATCAAAAAGCTTTCCCTGTGCGTGTGATGGCCTCCCATCCTGGGACAACTTACAGCATTGGGGCTGTTGGCAAGTTGTGAAAACTGCATGATTTCACATAGAAAATCTTCCTCTTGTCTTTTTACAGTGTGTTTTGAATAAGCAAGGGAGTTAAAATGATCATTACAGTTGTGAGATGGGAAGGCTGTTCATAGAGCAAAATACAGAGAGACTGAAAACAAAATTAACCTGTGCATGAGATTTGTGTGTGGAAAGCAAGCTGACCCTTGTTGAGCAGTGCCCTCCTGTATGCAGTAATGTGACAGCTCTGAACTGGAACAGGAGCACTGGGAGGTGGTTTGGCCAGATTGACTTGACACAAGAACCTGTGGCAATCCCATCACTTCATACCTTGCCGGTGAGCAAGGTGTCTTTGCCAACTGGAGCTGCCCTGACTTGTGCTGAATAAAATTTCAGGTGTGCTGTATAAGTAATAGTTCAGTCTGTCCACTTCACCAGGTTTTGCAGATGGGAGTGTTGTTCTTACAAAAGGAGACATCACTCGAGACCGGCACAGCAAGACCCAGATCCTACACGAAGGCAGTTACCCAGTTACCGGCCTTGCATTCCGACAGTCTGGCAAAACTACACATCTATTTGTGGTGACCACAGAGAACATCCAGGTGAGAGGTTAATTGGAAAAAATGAGACTCTGACTTGCAAATTTCATTGGTTTCAGAGTCTAGGCCAGAGCAATCCCCAAACCCTTGAATTTCCTCTGTAGTCTTATATGCTTTCAGTGAAAGACTATCCTCACCTGGAGCTGGACACTCACGGTTGTGGATTGCGCTGTTCATCTCTCAGTGACCCCTCCCAGGATCTCCAGTTCATTGTGGCAGGAAATGAATGCGTGTACCTTTATCAACCAGATGAACGTGGCCCCTGCTTTGCCTTTGAGGGGCAAAAGCTGATTGTTCACTGGTACCGGGGGTACCTCATCATCGTCTCCAAGGAC